GTTCTGAACATTTCAGGATTTTCTCTCTTGGAATTATTCTCATTTTATAAACCATAATTCTTAAGTGTCAGTAGTAAATATTTTATCATTAAGCCCTTTTCTCCCCACCTTATTCCTAACCCAACTGAAAAAGGTATAGCTCAGCTTGATCTGTTTGTCTTCAAAAGCATAATTCTAAATTTTTATTAGCTGTAGACTGACTTCTAGAAACAATAGACAAACATTCATTTCTCCTTGAAGCCATTTAGATGAAATTCTGGAAAACTGTCAAGTTGATTTGTTAAAAAAAATGTTCAAAAGTTATTTTGAATAATAGCAGCGTCATTGAAATAAATGTCTATAATTGCTGAAGCAGTTACTCTGAAATGAACTACTATTTTTTTGGATGGATGGATGTTGGTAGGTTCCTTTAATTGTGCTCATGTTGAACCTCTATACCAATCAAGAGACAGTCTTCCAAACAGAACAAGGGGATACTGAATTGTTTAAAATCAGGAAAGGTTTGCATCAGGGCTGTATTATTTAGCCATACTTATTCATTCTGTATGTTGAACAAGTAATCTGAGAAACTGGACTATATAAAGAAGAACATGGCACCAGGATTGGAGGAAAGCTCATTAACAACTTGTGATATGTAGATGATAGAACCTGGCTTGCTGAAGGTAGGACTTGAAGCACTTACTGATGAAAATCAATGACTGTAGGCTTCAATATGGATTATTCCTTAACATAAATAAAGCAGAATTCCTTACAACATCATGATAAGTGGAGAAAAGATGGAAATTGTCAACAATTTCATTTACTTGGATCCACTATCAATGCCCATGAAAGCAGCAGTCAAGAAATTGAATGACGTATTGCATTAGGCAAATCTGCTGCAAAAGATCTCTTTAAAAAGTTTAAAAGCAAAGATGTCACTTTGTGAACTAAGGTATGCCTGACCCAAAACATGGTATTTTCAATAGTCTCATAAACACATGAAACTTGAATAAGTAAGACCATAGAAGATTTGGTGCATTTCAATTATTCGTATGCTGGTGAAGAGTATAGCATTTACCAGAAGAACGAATAAATCTGTCTTGGAAGAAGTACAACCAGAGTGCTTCTTTGAAGTGGTGATGGGGAGACTTTTCTCACATCGTTTGGGCATGTTATCAGGAGGGTCCAATCCTAATAAGAACATGATGCTTGATGAAGCAGAGGGTCAGTGATGGATTGACACATTGACTGCAGCAGTGGGCTAATACATAGCAGTGATTGTGCAGGTGACACAGGACCAGGCAGTGTTTTGGTTCTATTGGGTCTTTTCGTAGCCCTCAACAACAACACAACCATTTGCAATATGAATCACAAATGGTTTTTCCTGGTTAGTAATTTGTTTTTCCAGTCTTTTTCTTCTTGACTTGAGTTATATTTGTTAGTCTTCTCTCTCATATTTTTTAATTTAAAGTTATAGTTAGGCCTTTCTTTATCAAAGTTTATAAAAGTGTCCTCCCATGCACCCATTCTCTTTGTTCTCATCTAGTACTTTCATGGTTCTAGTCTTAAATATTTGATTTTTTTTGGAGTTTTATCTTGGTGTACCCAACTTTTTTTAAAATCAGGTGACTATCCACCACCATTTATTTAATAACTGCTGGTAATTCAGTACCCACTACTTTGAGATGTCACTTTTATCATAGAGCATATGTCTTTGTATCAAATACACCATTAATTATAAACACAGAATTGTTTCATATCCCAATAATACAGAAAAAAACTCTTTCAGTGAAACTTTGACACATCATCAATTTGTAGGGTATGTCCTGATATCAAATATGTACAGCTTAGAATTTCTGAAATAAAGTTCCTAATTCCCATATGTATTTGATGGACTTTGTTTTTTATTCCACTCGTTGTACCAGTACTACACTATTTTAATTACTGAAGACTTAGGATATATTGATCTCCTTCCTCAGAGTTTTCCCACTAATCTTGCTTATCTGTCCAGATAAATTAAGTAGAGAGCTAATATCTAACATGCAGCCATAGGTTTATATACATTATATATATATATTAAGTGCTGTCGAGTTGGTTTCAACTCATAGCGACCCTGTATAGGAATAGCTGGTAGGTTTGAACCACAGACCTTGCAATCTAGCGCATTATCCTGCCACACCAGGACTTCTATATATATGTGTGTGTGTGTGTTGTCATTATGTGCCATCGAGTCAGTTCCAACCCATAGTGACACTGTGTAAGCTTTCCAAGGAGTGGCTGGTGAGCTTGAACCACTGACCTTGTGGTTCAAACTGACATTGTAGTCCAGTGCATTAACCAACAGCACTACACCAAGATTACATATGTATAAATATTATATATAAGTATAATATATATATATATATATATA